ACAAACAAGTGAACTACAAAAGCTACTCACAGAAATAATCCAGGAGAATTTTCCTAATTTAGCAAAAGGTAAAGATACTCAGATGTATGAGGCATACAAACCCCAGCTACCTACAACCCAAACAGAGCAACACCCAGGCATATAATAATAAAAATTCCAGAAATTCAATACAAGAACAGAATATTAAAAGCTGTCAGAGACAAGAAACAGATCACTTACAAGGGAACACCCATCAGAATTACAGCAGATTTCTCTGCACAAACCATCAAATCACGAAGAGCGTGGAGGGAAATAATTCAAGCTTTGAAAGATAATAATCTCCAGCCAAGATTGAGATATCCTGCACAACTGTCCCTGGAAATTGATGGAAAAACAAGGTGCTTCCAGGATAAAGAGGAACTGGGGGAATTTGCAACCACCAATTCAACTCTACAGAAAGTATTGCAGGATATTCTTAAAAAAAGAAAAATACAAAGAACCCAGAAATAGTGGCGGGGAGGCCACAACAAATGGAGCAGAGAACAAAATGAGGAAGACAAACTGACAGCTACTGACAGAAAAAGAGCTCAACAGAAATGAGACAGAGAAGATTGGATGATAGGAACAGCTATTTTGGAGAAAATGACATCTTAATAGGTAATAATGATTTAGTATCATCTTGCTTTGAAGTCTCATCTAGATTTTGTTCTTCTGTCTCCAATGGTCTAAATAGGTTGTATCTTATTGGATTTTATTATGTATGATAGTATAAGCAAAAACCTTTTAAAGACAAGGAGATTATACATAAACCATTGTTCATTTTCTGTTAGTGGATTCTAAATACTCTGTAATGCTATCATTCTCTTAAATGGTTTTACATTGTTTTGATATACTTAATGCTACAGTATACGAAGTTGTACTCAAGGATTTCAAGGAAAGAGTCAATATGGTAACTACTTTTGGGTCGGGATTATCTGGTGGTGAAACACTATTCTGCTTAAATGGTTATGTTTTGATCTGAGCTGTTTCGCTGTTATGCCCTCTTTTATCTCAATCTCCACTCCATTATTTACTTTTTTATTTTTATCCATTTAATTAAAGGGAAAAAATAGCAGGATATATTATAGTAACCCACTTTGACTTTCTATTATCTTGATTTGAAGCCCTGTATTACTCTCACCATCTTGTTTTTGACTGATGTTCCCCTATTCTGTTTTGCTGGATAGTATCAGGTTCAAAAGTTTAGGCATCAGCTGTGAAGATAATGAGATTCATTATAACGCCCATTCTCGTTGACTTTTATCTACTTTTGAAGACCTACAATGTCTCCAATGTTTTGGTTTTGTCGGTTTTGTTCTTTACTGTTTTGTTCAATTGTATTATAACTAATGATATAGGCAATTCTATTAGAGATAGTGGGAGGCATTATGGTAACCATCGTTGACCACCTTGTATTATGTTTTTACATTATCTATTACGTCCACCCTTTTGACTTGACCGATTCTGTTCTGTTATGTCACATTTGGTTTTACTCTCTTCCAAAAAAGCAATAAGAACCGTGGGAGCAATGAAACCCAAAATGTGTAATAGTCATTGTACGAAAGAGAGGAAAAGAAAGTGCTCTAAACTATATAACTGCATGTATATTTAAGTGTATAAGATAGAAAATGATACCACAGAGTTTTATTGGATCATTAAACAGAAATATTTGCAGTATCATTCTTGGAATGTCCACTCTACAAGCTTTAATTTTGTGACTTGAACAATTATTTCTAAGATGGCAATATGTAATCCATTAACTAGTGATTTCCTACTGTTCATTTTTTTCTGTAAATCTGTATAATTTGTACGCTTTCACTGTGTTTTTTCTTTTCTCCTTAAATAAAATTTTTTAAAAAAGAAGATTAATTTTGCCTTTCATATGTTGTTGAATTTTTTTTTATTGGTACCAGGGATCGAACTCTCGAACGCCTGCTTGCAAGGCAGGTGCTTATGCCACTGAGCTAAATCCCCAGCCCCTTATGTTGTTGAATTTGATTTGCCAGTAGTTTTTTATTTTTTAACACTTTTGAATTAATATCCTTCAGGAACACTGGTCTTTAAGTTTATCCTCTTCTCTGGCGTTAGTATTGTGGTAATGCTAACTCCATAAAAATCAGTCTAGAAGCATTCCTTCTGCTTCAATTCTTTTGGAAGATTTTGAAAGGATATAGTGGTAGACTGGATTTCACCCTGCAGTGGGGCACAGGCCCATTGTCTTCCCCAGATCACGCAGCTCATCAGGGTATTCCATACCCATCCCGTCTAGGTTTCCTGTAGACTGGAAACAGGTGTCCCAGTTAGGATGATGGGGCCTTCACCAGAAACTAACCACATTTAAGCTCTCATTGCTTCCTGTCTCACAACCCCAAGTGCCACCCTTACTGATCAGGAAAATTTCTTTGTATTTTTGAGGTCCAGAAGCTTTGCATCATCTGAACAGAATTCCTCCCAAGCATACTGTCTCTGCCTCGCATCTTTCATTACTCTGAGTTGCCTCTTATCTTTTCAAATCTGAATTCAGTCCTTTCCTTCCTCTTGTTTTCTGTGTCTCTCTGTGTGTCATTGTGTCTCTCTCTGATTCCACCCCACCCCCTTTGCCCAATAGTCTCTTCCCTTGTGCAATAAGCACAGAACATCTAACTCAATGTTTAAGGGTAGAGCTGGGATTTTTTTAAAAAAGAGGTTGGAAAAACATAGGAGTATTTCCAACTATTGCCCAGCCATGTTTAGTTGCAGGTTTATTAGGAAAATTGTACCAGATAGATGATAAGTCCTCACAGTGGACCTTTCATCAGCAAAATAAACTATCTGCTCCACGAGAAGTTGGAACCAGGCAGATTTCCTTTTCAGTTGTGTAGACCAAGTGTTCTAACACTGGCCAGTGTAGGATGTCAAATTTACAACTGCAGAAAACCAGAGCTGACTGATCAAAGTCACTGTTCTGAGTTACTGTTATCTGGCTTTGTCTCATTTTCATGTTAAAATCTCGTAGTGATTCAGTGCTCTGATAATTCCAACTATTCATTAGACAGCCCTGGGGATGAAAATGTACTACTGCTTTTTTTAACTAAATAAGAAGCAAACTCATAACTGTTGGTAAATGTCTTATTCTAATTAGACTTGGCAGCATTCTAGCACAGGTTACTCATGATTTTTTTTTTCCTATCTAACCAGAAGAGGTGAAAGTTTATGTTTCTCTTGTTCTTGAGCTAAATTCCTTTTTTTTTGTTTCTGAGAGAGTAAAATATATATTTATTACATATGTCAAAATTCTCTTTCCCTAAAAGCAGAAGTATAGTCTATATAGATCAGAGATTGTGCAAATCTTGAAATATATAGAAAACATGGGTATGCACATGTGCAAAACCAAGCAAAAATGAGAACTTTGGCTCACAGTCACACTGAATAAACTAACTACTTTCATTTTTATAAGGCTTTGAGGTTTTTTTTATTAATTTTCACAGTTTCCTAAGTTTTCATTATTTCAGTAGCGATATAAATTATCCCAAATTTTTCAGCTTCTGTTCATTAACTTACTTTGCAGCCTCTCGTATACTTAATGAATGTGTTACTTTTGTTATTTTAATGGACAGACCTACAAAAAAGTAATAAAAACCTACATTTCTGATGTATCCAGATTAATTCCAAGATGAAGATCCCTGATGAGTCACGAGATCACCCCATCTCTAGGTCGAAAGAAAATCCACTGCCAACAACATTTAATGTCCTTACAGCCCCCACCTCAGCGTACTCTGATTGTAGCCATTAAAATTAAAATGTCCCATTCCAAATTAACTTCATCTCTTTAAAGCAATATTTTTCCTTTGACTTCAAATAAAAATTTGGGAGGGTAAGTTTTAAAAAATGATATCTATGTGCTTTAAATCTCAAAAGTAGGAAGTTCTAGAAGCTAATTTCACTTCATATTAAGCCACTTACAGATTTAGCAATAACTTTCAACTTCTTAAAATACAGTGTGAGTTTTTATAACGTATTATTCTCTAGTGTGTTTTTGTTTTGTTTGTTTTATTTGTTTGTTTGTTTTTGAGTTTCACCATGCAGTTTGGGCTGACCTTGAACTGACTTCATAGCACAGACCTGCCTCCCATTCAGAGGGATTCTCCTGGCCCAGCTAGCCAAGTGCTGGGATTATTGGTGTGTACCACCATGCTTGGCTTCTAATGAGTTTTCCAGTTTCATAAAATTATGTATTTGTCTAAGCCAGCTCATTCAATTGATTTTAGCAATCTGTTCTCAGAGGAGAATTAAAAGAAAAAAATGGCTCTATAGTCAAATATTATATATTAGCTATTTTTACCTCCACCATCCTACCTAGCCCTCTTACTGCTGTTAAGCCACACAATGTTCACCATTAAATATCCCTCTCCCTTTCCCCTTCTTTTTCACTGTTCCCAAGAACTTGGTCACCTGAATGGTGCTGCAGCATCCAAATTATTCACCCTGCCTTACCTGAACATCTCTAATCATCTGAATTATTCACCCTGCCTTACCTGAACATCTCTAATGCTGCCAGTGCAGCTGGTTATTATTGAACTGTGTTTTCTCCTGTATTAGATCCTGTTTCTGCAAGAGCCAGGCCCTGCATCATGGTGCTCTAAGAATATAATAGGTATATTTATTGATGGGATGAACAAATGGGTGAATTTACTGAGCACATATTCTATTAAGTAAAACCTATAGACAGTATGCACTTGTAATTAAGATGTAATGGGAAAACTAAGCTGAGATTATAGTACAGTAAACAGCAAAACATCTTTTAAAAGTACTTAAGAGACTTTTTTATTGAAACTTGGCTAATGTTAGCCTTCCCATTAAGATGCTACTTCCTCATTGGTTATGATGAAATATGAGTGCAATTTCCTGTCCCCTCAACAGTGCTGGTTTTTCTTTTTGATGCAAGCAGGCTCATCACGCACCTCTGTGGACAGAAATCATTACCCTAAGAAACGGTGGTAAGTATAAGATTTTAAAATTGGATAACGTGCTTTGATGTGATTGCTAGCAACAATTGGGGTGCTTTATCTTGTTTAGGCTATATAAATGTGGTAATGCAATCATTACTGAGAAAGAGAAATGAGGAAGATACACAGTTTCCTCTGACTTGGACAGTAGTCAGAGAAACCCAAATTTTAAATTTAGAACTACTGTTAGAGAAAACTGATTATTTCAGAAGAGGAATGTTTGTGGTCTGTTTTCTTTTCAGGAAATGGCAAACTGAATTTTCAGAAAAAATCCTACCATCTCCTATCTATAGAGCAATCTGGCATCATTTCTTCATCATACAACGATCTAAACTCACACTTTTTGTATCCATTAGAAATAATGCAGAGTTAGAATGTAATGCTTCCAGTATCAAGACATATTAGTAGTTATTTGTTAATGAGTGACTATCACAGTGCCTGAAATATAGTCTTAATAAGTGGTTATTAAACTGAAAAATGAAAGCAAGCATCTCTTATTATGTGATAGAAAAAGTTTCCTTTTGCATTGATGTGTATTATATTTAGATATTTCTGAACAGATCATTCTCCACTACTAGGTGATAAACTCCTGTTTGGGTAAAAGCCCATTAAAGTGAACCAAGAGCTGGTTAAGAATATATATAAATTAATTATAGTACAGGTTATATTTTTGTGACATTTGGTAAAAATTAAAATTAAAACTTGTCAGTGCCTTTTCTAAAAGCAACTTTCTCAAAATCTGATTAAAGTAGTCAAAATAACATTTGAAAAGATGTTTGAATAATGGAAGTATATAGCCCATTAAATTTCTGGATCCCCATCCATTCAGTTAACAAGTATTATCTGCAATGCTAGGCATCATATGGGAAGCATTACTGCACAAGTCACACAATGCCTCTGGCCCTTCCATTATGCCCTGCGACCAGAGGCCACAAATAATCTCCCTATAGGAAATGTAGGGGACAGCACAAAAGACAGCAGATTCCTGATGTTATCATTGAAACAACAGCATCAGCTAAAATTCGGTGAATCTGTGCTAGGTGCTTTTCCCCTGTGCTGTCTCATACACCGCCATGAGGTGGGTACTAGCTCATGTGGAAACTAGAACTTAGTGCAAACAGACACAGAGTTCCAGATCTCCCGAGGGCCGTGAAGCTCCCAAGTTCTCTGGAACCCATGCTCCTAACCACAAGCTTCTACTGCCCTGGTTGCCTAACAGAGAAGAGATCTGGTGTCTGTTTCGTCAAACTGCCCAGTCTTGTGGTTGTTCTCTGCAAGGCGAGAGATTTTTTTTTTTTTACAGTGACAGAAATTCATTGCACTGAGAACTTGATAAACCTTCCTAAAATTGTTTCTTCCTTTTACATATCTAATCTGTGTGTGTGCATGTGCGTGCGTGCGTGCGTGCGTGCGTGTGTGTGTGTGTGTGTGTGTGTGTGTGTAGGAGGCAATGCATACTTATTTGGAAACATTGATTAAGAAGAAGAGAGTGCCTGTGCCCATGCTTTCATTTTCTTCCTCCTGTTCAGGGTAAGTGAACAAACGAGGGCTGGGCAGTCCTCAGGGCCCCCGGGGCTGCTTGCTCGCTCTTGCATCTCGGACTCTATCCTACTGTCATGTTTCTTGTTGGCCTATATCCCTTAAAAGGTCCTAATGCAAGGAATTTGGGGGTAAGTTTTCTCAGTGGCAGGCTGCATGAAAAATATTCTAATTTTTGCTCTGCTTTGGTTCTGTTGAGAAAGCAGCTACAAGATGACATTCTTTTAGATGTCTGGAAATATTAATCTTCTGTCTCTGGTTTCTATGATTGTTGGTGATGAATCCTTTATCAGCCAAACTTTATTTTTTACGAGTACTCCCCCTTTTTCTCTCTGGCTTTGCTGGTATTCAATTTGATTGCCACATATCTGAGTATAGGTTTCTATTTTTGTGTATTTTTTATCTTATTTGGAGTTTTCTAAGCCTCGTGTATCTCAGGATTCTATGTCCTTCATCGTTCTAGAAAACACTCAGCAATTACCTTTGTAAATATTGCCTTTTCCCTAGTCCCTCTTTTCTACCTTTATGCAATTTCAAAAATACACACGGCAGCCTGTCATCTTCTCTCTGTGTCTCTCTGGTATTTTACCATTTTTTTTTTAACACCAAGTTCTTTAGTTCTATCTTACAATTCACTAACTCTTTCTTCAACTGGGCCTAATTAGTGGCTTCATTTTTTAAGTTTAATTAGTATCTTTTTTATTTTTAGAAAGTCCATTTCAATCTTAATATATGCCTAGTCATTTTTATATCCTCTTGTTTCTTACTCATGTGTACCAAACCACTTTTATTTATTTAACCATATTAAATAGTTTGTTAAACATGCATCAATGTATCTCTAATACTTTTATAGATCTAATTTTCCTCTCTTGTTTCTGCTCAGTCTGACACATAGTAGCTTATTTCTTTCTCTCTCTCTCTCTCTCTCTCTCTCTTTCTCTCTCTCACTCTCTCTCTCTCTCTCTCTCTCTCTCTGTGTGTGTGTGTGTGTGTGTGTGTGTGTGCATGCGATAGGTATGTACTCTAACAAAGTCATATTTGTTAGAACTCTGTCTGTGGGATTCTTTGAAGCCTAGGATAAGAAAGTTATCCTCAAGGAAAGATTTGTGTTTATTTCTTCTATGAGTCTAGAATTTATTTATTTTTCATACAGTACATATTAATTTTAGAAAAACTTCCGTAACTATTTGGATTATTTACTTATTGTTTTCCTGAACTACTTTGTACATAAGAAATAATTACTATTTCTTAGGAAGACACGTGTGGTCCATCTGTATATCAAACAGATACTGTTTGTCGCAATGGTTGACAATTTGTACAACCTTTTGGTTACACTTTTCAACTTTTTAGTTGTAATAATTATTTATGCAGAAAGAAATGCATATATCCTAAGTACACAGCTTGATCAAGTTTTACAAACAGTATATTCAGAGAGCGTGTACTGGTTGGCACATTTGTACAAACTGGATATGGCTCATGGAACCAGCACCCATATCGAGAACCAGAACATTACCAAAATCTCAGAACTTCCCCTCCTTCCCTCTTCCAGCATTTCCTGCCCCGTCCCTGGAATCTAACCCTGGCCTGACTCCTCACAGTGTAGATTAACTCCTGTGGTTTTTTTTTTAATCAGTGCACATTCTTTTGTTTTTGTCTTTTCTATCACTCAACATTACATTTTTGAGCTTCAGCCATGTTACTGCATGTAGAAATAGTTCATTCATTTTTATTGGTATGTAGAATTCAATTCTGTTACTATACCAATTCTACTGCTAATGGGCATGTAGTTGTAGGATATTACAAACAGTTTTACTGTGAACCCTCTAATCTTGGTACATGTTACTAAACATGGATGAGTTTATCTTGAGCATGTACCTAGAAGTGGAATTGCTGAAGTGTGTAGTACACCTAAGCACCAGTTTTCCCAGCCAACAGTATATGACTGTGCAGATGCTCTGAATCCTCACCAAGACTCAACCTTTTTTCCATTGCATTCATTCTGGTGGCTGTGGAGTAGTATCTTATTGTGGTTTTAGTTCATATTTTTTGGTAACTAATACAATTACGCACATAGGTAACCCTAAAGTTTATTTCCAAGTGAAGACCTGCCAGAGGCCATGCATAGTCAGTGAACTTTTTTTTGAATGGCTCCTTACAGAAACCAAACTGAGGTAGGGAACTTGCCAACTTTTCTCTGTGGTGTGCAAGCATCTATGACATTTGGTATTTTATCTCATCCTATCTTATCTTATCTTGTTTTCTGCTCACTTTTTCCCTAAAAGGAGAGGCTCCTGGACTCTAATGTGTGTGGAACGGTAGGGACCCTTTCCTACCTACAGTAGGGACCCTTTCCTACCTACAGTACTAAAGTTTGAGTTTTTTCTGATCCACGGACTCTGTTATTTCCTCCAGATGCACATTCGCCTCCAGAGTACCCAGAGATTTTGTGCTCCCTCGTGTTTCTCATCACAGTTCCCACTTCCTTTTATCCATCCTAATTTTCCCTTTCTAGAAGGTTCTCTATCTAAAAGGCTATTTTTCAAATGTTACTTGTGTTTTTATGCAACAAAATAAAATCTTGGTAGTTTATGTTCTTTATTTTAAGAGTGAGATATAATATGTACTCTGGATATGGCTCGCTCTAGTAGCAGAATCCTGAGCCTTGTCATGGAAAATTTCCTTCATGCTCCAGATTTATCAGCACGTGGAAGGGAGTGGTTTTAATGCACTTCATGATGTCCATGAAAAGTTTCCTACGAAGGTCCCCATCAAGTAAATTATCCAAACCAGCAAGAGCCCCACCTACAAAAGAGTGCAGAAACGTTTCTCTATTCCAGGTTGAAGAGAAATATGAATATTGCACTCTCATGTGAATTTATGGCATTGTAGCTTTAAAAATAAACAAACCTAATAAAAGTGGTACTTGATGTTCACAAGGTTTTATTTAGAATCAAAGCCATCCTACCCTTCTACATATGAAAATATATGAGAAGCAAAGTGAGTTAACTCACAAAGGAAGTAAAAGATAAACAGAAGAGATAAGGCTATCTAATTCTGCACTGAGGCTCTCAAGCTGCTATATTTTGAAAGTCAAATTTATCATTTTTTCATGAAAATATTTTCCTGGACAATAAGGTAACTTTGAAAGTGACTTTTGCCTAGCTTGCATCAGAAAGTAAACATCTAAAATTATGCCACCATAGCATTTATCACACACCAAAAGCACTTACTAAATATCTAAATTTCTATTTAGCTGTTAAAATGACTTAACTTTAGCTTTGATTGTTCGTGTCTGGGAGGAAATATAATTCTCTCTAATCTAACATCCCTTGGGCAATTCTTATTTGAAATAGGTAAAATATCTCTTCTTGATTTTGTTTATTAAAGTCAGTTAAATTTCTTTCCATTTAAATATCTTCAATAAATGCAATAAGATTACTTCAAAATCATAATCATAATGAGGTGACAAATCTTATAAACATCTACTCTGTTCTAGTTCATCTTTCACTCCAGAAATGAAAGTACTTTTTAAAGATACGAATCTCTGTGAAAATACAAAGCCTTAGATCTATTCATGTTTGCACCAATCCCCTGTGAGATTCATGAAGAAAATTAAATTGAGACAACACTGCATGGAAGCTAAGACACTCTCCAGTTGATCCTGGGAATTTCTAGATCAGTGATCCGTGACAATTAACCCACAGACTGTAGTTCGCTAAAAGCAACTGATCATTTTAGCCAACGTCCAGGAGCCTGGATTCTGACTTCCAACTACTGATAATCCGTATGATACACTCCCACCCATTCGAAGCGCTGATGAATTGATTAGACCTTTTGAAACCACAGGAAAATGGAGAAGAATTTTGAGTAAAAGAAAATGTGATGTTGAAAATAAACTGCCATGAGGCAAGACTTATTTTCCTGTTTACCTTCTAGGATCTAATGTCATTGCTACCTTAAGAAAGAAACAATGAACAGCACGTGCACTGAAGAACAGCATGACGTGGATCATTATTTGTTCCCAATCATCTACATCTTTGTGATCATAATCAGTGTGCCAGCCAATATTGGATCTCTATGTGTGTCTTTTCTGCAAGCAAAGAAGGAAAATGAACTAGGAATTTACCTCTTCAGCTTATCACTGTCAGATTTGCTATACTCATTAACTCTCCCTCTGTGGGTTGATTATACTTTGAATAAGGACAACTGGACTTTCTCTGCTGCCTTGTGCAAAGGGAGTGCTTTCTTCATGTACTTAAACTTTTACAGCAGTACCGGGTTTCTCACCTGCATTGCCATTGATCGGTACTTAGCTGTGGTTTACCCTTTGAAGTTTCTTCTGCTAAGAACAAGAAAATTTGCATTCATGGTCAGCCTATTCATCTGGATAATGGAATCCATCTTTAATTCTGTCATTCTGTGGGAAGATGAAACCCCTACTGAATACTGTAATGGTCAAACACCATTCACTTTGTGTTATGACAGATACCCATTGGAGAAATGGCAAATCAAGCTCAATCTCTTCAGGATGTGTACAGGCTACGCATTACCCTTGGTCATCATCCTGATTTGCAACCAGAAAGTCTACAAAGCTGTGCGGCACAATCAGGCCACAGAATACCCTGAAAAGATAAGAATCATAAAGCTCCTTATCAGCATCACACTGACGTTCGTCCTGTGCTTTACACCCTTTCATGTGATGTTGTTGATCCGCTGCATTTTGGAGCATAACGTCAACCTCAGTGACCAAAACAAGTCTGGAAAGCAGACGTACGCAATATATAGAATCACTGTGGCACTGACGAGTCTGAATTGTGTTGCTGATCCAATTCTGTACTGTTTTGTAACTGAAACAGGAAGATCTGATATGTGGAATATATTAAAATTCTGTACTGGGAGACACCATAAATCACAAAGAAAACGCACCCTTTCAATGTCTACAAGAGATACTATTGAGTTAGATGCCCTTGAATAGAACAAAGAATTGGAGGGGAAGGGTCTAAGGTACATGGCATTACATCATCGTGACTAAATTTTGAAAAGGAAATCTACCATGGCAAGGGACTAGGTATTCTAACTGGATGTTTTCATCCTGTCCAGTGGAAATATTTTTAAAGTTCATTGTACAACTCTCTCCTTGACTTTGACTCAATGTGGCATATTAAACAGAATTTGGTATTTTCCTAATGACTTTCATTCATTATTGTTAATGACAATTGTTTTTTGTTAATCTGTGCTATATAATCAGAGGATAATAACAGGTATGGGATCATCATAAATCAGTGGGCTTCTGTTTGTTTGGTTTTTTTTCCTTGCTCTTTCTTTAGATAGCAGTCTTTGTGTAAGCTGTCAGTTCTCCCAAGTCCAAGTACCTGTCTCCAACCACCCCAGTTACCAACTATTGCTTCTGATCTCATTCATTAACGAATATTTGCTGATCCCATTATGCATACTAGGCTTTTGCATTGAGTACTTGGATTACAAGAGAAATTGTCTCATGAAGTTAGTATCAATTCTAAAACCTAGCCACTGTGATTTTAAGATTGCTACATAAAGTAAAAGTAAATAAGCTTTCAGTTTTTGTTTGGCTTCCTTTTTAGTCTTTAACTGTGTACATAGTACTTGAAATTGTTTATCTGATGCTTGATACACTCAGTAATTCCTTTTTGGACTTAAAGTACATAGAGAGCCCAGAGCCCAGTATCAACTACTGAGGAGGCTGAGGCAGGAGAATTGTTAATTCCACGTCAGCCTGAGCAATTTAGCAAGAACCTATGTCAAAAAAATTATAAATATATATATATATATATATATATATATACATATATATATATATACATATATATATATATAATTCAGGAAGTCTTGATATAATGTATTCTTTTGAATTTTATTGTGACAATTACTCTTCCTAGCTGCAGGTAATCAGTAGGTAAACGTCTCTCCTAACAAGTATCTTTTAAGACTTTTAAAATCCTCTTTGCTTTAATCCTTCAGTTTCTTCTCTTCCATATCTGTCCTTCCTACTCCAAAGGTGTCCGGATTACAAATGTCTTGATACCATGTGGTCCCTCGCTTCTCAAAACAAAGTCCTCGTAGACCAGTATTTTTTCAATAGCAAATTTCCCAACAAACACTGAAAAATCAGTGAGTGCAAAAATGATAATTTTCTTCCAATCTCCTATGTTGATATATATGCCCACCTTTCTCGGGGGACATATAAATATTCTTGATTCTTTGTGTATTTCTTGTCATGACGACTTTAGAGAATAAATAGATTCTGTCTGGGTACTTTGAGACATACTCATGTATGCTTCAAGACTAAAGTTACAATGAAACAAGGAGTCAAATAGTTTGAGCTGTTTGTTTAATTACCAATAAATGATTGGCAACCTGTGAATTGAACACAAGTAAAACTAAGCGGCCCAGAAACAATTTTGCCCACATATGGAAATTCTGGTGTAGATTAAGTGCGTTTTCCCGGATCACACATTTTGTTGAAAGCAGTGCCAGACGTCAAGTGCAAGAATGCTGAATTCCCTCCAGAATGCATTCTTCCCCTTTATGACTATTTAAAAATACTTCCACTGTTTCTTTTTTTAGGTACAATGAAAATATGTGCATGAAGAGTTGATTAGTGTAATTGTTGAATTTAGGTTAGAATAGGGAAATAGAGAGTTGTTTCATTACTGATACTTCCAGAAATATAATAAATCAGATAGTAATTAAAGTACATTAAAGGTAGTAATTTAGCTATTGTGTTACAGAGAACTGATTAAAGTTTTCTTCAACTGGTTACGTGAATCAGAGACATGGCAAATACAAATTTGTGCCACACTTAGTAAGAATGATATAATTGATGATCAACAGCAAAACATTGATCTAGGATATCATAGAATTACTTCCCAAATGAGCCAGGCTGGAAGCTGACGTTTTCTCTCACTGCAGGGCTAAGTATGGAGAAGCCAGGTCGAGATACTACTTATGACTTAGAAACGAGTACTCTAGACATGATCTGAAACAATCCACACCACGTAGTTAACCCTTTAGTTTCTGAAGGCTTTTTAGGTTCCTTGTTAAAGCTCCCTATAGCTCAAGATATTTCTGGAAGGGATAAGACCTGTCAGCGGTTATCACATGAAACTCTGTGGTCAGAAGGCTCCGCTGGAGCAGCAGGTCTTCCACTTCCTGTTAGAAAAACTTCCACAATTTCCTCATGGCTCAGTTTTTATAAATTGGAGGAACAGTGGTAACATTTACTTTTAACAAGTAGAAGTGAAAACACTTTGTGCGCTATGGTAAGCTGCCTGAATGTCTGTTATTATTAGTTGTTTCCTTCAACTTAGGGATTGTGAATGGCCATGCAAGAGACGCAAAGATCCCTTGGAGCAGGAGGAAAGCATGTGAACGGAGAAGAGCTGGCTCCAGGACACCATTTTTATAGTGGATTCCTCCCGACGGTTAAATACATCCGTTAAGGTCACTCAAGGACCTTCACAGTGCCTGGGTCTTTGGGACATTTTTAATGCTGCCTGTTCCTAGGCATGCACAATTCTGAGGAGACACATACAGAGGTACACATCTGTCTTTAATTTGTTTACACTTCTTACTTTTTATTTTATTATCTAGAATGTTATTCTTTAATACAGTGAACTCAAGATCGACATCTTGGAGAGGCCAGAGAAGAGACTGAATAAAGATTTTTAGAATTTCCATTTTCCTTACCTAGCCTGGGAAGCTTCATGGTTACATGGAGTTCTTAACTTTTGAAATAATGCATCCTCTGGATTATTTTAATGTATTTTTCTTTACTAAATCAGCAGCTGGGCAAGACATTTTTAAGATTATCTTTTCCTGTCCCTCGTTCCTCCTTTTGCCCTGGAAGTGTCTGCCAAGGGAGCTGTGGTCAGAAAACATCTATCTGTACATTCTCAACGGTGTATCATTCTGAAAAAGTCTAGCTCTGAGATGTTTACTTACATCCTCTGAGTGGACGCCTCCTGGGAGAAATAATGAAAATGTGTCATGAAGCAGGATCTGTTTTCAAGCTATTCTTTATTTATAGTAGAATCACCAGATTCCATTTAAGTGAAAAAGATACTTGTACACTCTTATTATCTGTTATTCTTTGGTTTCTCTAGCAGCTTAAAGATGGAGCCCCTTATCATTAACTCTCTGCTATTCATTGCATTATGCACCTGGTTTGGAGGAATAAACTGACAATAATAAAAGCAGGTCCAAATTAGGGTAAAGGAAAAATGGTGTGGGCTAAAGATAGTTTGTATTCTTGCTACATCCTTTGTTCCTAGCAAACAAAACACATACGTGCACATTATATGTGGCCACTAGGTGTCAGTGGTGTTCCATGACATTTTCTTACCTAAGAAACAAGACAGACTTCTAGGACCTGGAAATGAAAGAGGGAAAATGCTGAGATTCTCTTTACGCCATTTATTCTTCTGCCCCCTGAAAGCTCCGCTCTCATCAGATATTTTCACTTGGTTTAAACTGTGAATAGCATTTTAGTGATCTTTTTTCTTTCCAAGCTGCTTAAAATCAATCAGTGCACACATAAGAGAACATAGGCTAAATTGTATAGTACCTGTAAAATAGCGAATCTAGCTTTGAAGGCGTGTATTTATTTTGTTGAAATAAAATACTAGTTATCTTTCACGCAGATACAACACAGAAACCATTGGAGTTATAAGACAGTTGCAATTTTGCCTACTATTATGAACTGAGATCTATGAAAGTCAAGATGCAATTCGGCATATGAATAATTTTTAATTCTACTTTGTTATTGTGTGATCTCATCATAAAGACATTACATCTGTCATTCCAAATTGTTCAGATCCATTTGTCTCTAAATAACACTAATAAAATCATGTTCAAATTTAACAGCCTTTGCATATCATTAAGTGTATAATGGCCTCTAATCTATTTTTCTTCTGTTTATAATTTTCTAAAGCCTTTTGTGAAGCACCAATAGATTTTTACACATTAGAAAAAGAAGCTAAGATTCCTCACATCACATTGCAATTAGCTGTTCACAAAGCAGATCATCTACACATCCATTAGAAGAACGAACTAGAGAAATCTCCATATTGTTCAGTGCTAGATCTTGAATAAAAATCTCCTTAACTAGGAAATGTGCATTCAGTTTCAAATCCAATGCAATCAAGAAAACTTACTCCATAGTGACCTACCTAGATATTAGACTGAACTTACAAACATTCATCTGACACAATTCCTCTCAAAATGCTCTAAACTTTTTAGCCCTATCTCCAAAATTTATTGGCACCAAAGCATTATTTAGCCTGGAAACTTTGATGGGAAATTTGGAAAGAACTGTTGTTTTAGCCTCACTCTCGAAAAGATTTAAGAATATTCTCACCAGTTATCATAACTGTTTCCTGAATGAATAAATAATATGTTAATTTAGTAGACTGTACTAAGAATGGTGCTGTTTCAACAGCCTGGGGTCTTATTTCAGAAACCCTGGAGCTATTTGTATTTTCAGTTGAAACATTTTCAACATTATGTGAGCAAATAAAATTAAAGGGAACGAATCTCCCTTCAGGAGAGCCTTTATTAATCTTTCTTACCTTTACTAAAGTAAAACAGAAGAGGTAGACATTATCAATGACCCTTTTGCACATCTTAAACTGGGAATAATAGGAATTGTCATGTTGATTTCCAGCCATTATTTCTTATTCATGAAAAATGTTCTTAAGCTGCTTTTCCCCTAAACTTTTCATATTATGTTGATAAATGAACTTAATTTAGTCGCAGGCTACACAGCAGCATCAATCTCTATTGACAGCCTATGCTACAAAAAATACCCCAGCTGCATTTTCTTCATCAACCTAACTGCAACTCCTAAGCCATATGCCACCAGGGTATAGGAGATTCCATCCCAGCCCTTACTGAGCTCTCTTCCTCTTTGGGGTTCACACAGAGTCACAGAGGTTTACTGTTTGTTTTACTGACTGTTACAGTTACTGCCAACACTGATATTGCCAAGTTTTATTGGTCCTTGAATCCCCATGGTTCTTTGCTCTCTCGGTGAATATCATGGGGTACAGCATTTATTATTATTAAGACAGGATAGGAGCCCAGCAACCTGTGCATTAGGCAGACATTCTTCAAAACATTCTGTCCCCCAGAGCTGCTCTTTTTGAGGATGCCTAACTTATCGATCATGAGGTTCTTGACTTCAGCAATGGAATGTGCACATTAATGAACCAACCAAAGCAATCTAACCTTCTGGCCACAGATATTGGTTCAGTGGTGGGTACCCAAGTTAACTTGCTTATATATTGGAACAAAGGCTTTTTCTATGGCTTCTGATGATGTGCCATGCAAGTGCAATGCCCAAAACCTTTGTTATTATGAAATAGTCAACACATGGAAGAAAGAAGACCTTACAGAATCACAGAATAATTAATTACATGGGGAATCTCCACAAATTGTGGTTGTTGCACAAAATAAATCTCTTGATATTTTAATGTAATCTAAGACATACTCTTTTGTTCTTGAACTCTGAAGGGTCCTAGCAGAGTCTGAGACGTGGAAGTAGCAGTGATGTTATAAACTCTCTTTGTTGATAAGGAGAGCAGTGAGGACATCTCCAGCTTATGAAGTTAGCACCCCTCTTTAAGCAGTGGCAAAAATCCCCAATTAAGCTCTGGCCTGCTGTATTCACGGATGCAGACAATGTCTGCTAAGACTCTTCCCTCAGGGAGTTATGAGGAAGAAATCAAGAGGTTTTTGGTTTCTTCTTACTGCCTTTAATAAATAATAACAACATAACTTTTGTGAGACCTTTCCGGGTATGCTTTCAAAGCCACAAAATACTGCTGCCCCCTAAACCTTCCCACTGGCGCAAATGTGTTGTTACCAAAAAGGAATTCAGAATTGTTTGTGAGTCACTAGGGAGGAGAATCTCAAAAACCAAGCATTATAGAGAAACTAAAGAATTTGTGACATCCCTCAAGTTCTCATTTCATATCAAGAAGGACTAAGCCACTTAACCTTAGGGTTTTTGTGGGAGACAGAGAAACAAGGACCAGATATGATGTAATCAGAGTTCCTATTATGCAGCCCGCCTAACCCAGTGAACTCCATGACAGAAAACAAGGAAGATGTAACTGGAGGACTTCAGACACAATCGATGAACTTCATGGCCTGAGAGCAGACAAACTTCCCCAGTGGGTAGGCCAGTCAGTGCTGGCAGTCTGCTTTCACTATAAGTAGCAGCAAGCCTTTGGGAAATACCTCATATTCAGTTTGACGCACATCTTCGTGCCGCAGAAATGGAGATTGGTATAGACTGTTGTGAACACTGCACAAGAAATACATGTCCAGTCATCCCACAGCCTTGCAAATTTTTGTGGCAGTTTTAAAGAATGTGGCAGCAAAGTGTCTTTTCTAGTGAAATTAGCATGAAAATTTGAAATTCAAATGATTTTCAATTGAAATGAAAGATTTTTCGGATAGGCATATCCTATTCTGATTTGCAGAATGGTTAATTGAGTAACATAACTCTACCTCTCCCCTGACCTTGCACGGTCAGATAAGCCCCTTGCATCCCTGAACCGGCTTGGGGAGAGCTAGGATCATGGAGAGTATCTAAGCATAGGTGTGGTCATGGTACGCAAGATGGCTGAGCTCAGGCTTTTTATTTAAGCCTTTCGCTTGCTAGTGAGGCAGCATATGTTGTTGCCCGCATGTGAACCATGAGGATGCAGTCTCAGTGGCCAGCCTCCTTTTGGCTTGGATTATTCTCTGGGTCCGGGCAGGGGTGGATGAAATGCCCCACTTTGATAGAGAAAGATATGTATGCCCTGGGAGAGATCTTAGAGAAGACTACCCTTCCTGCTGTTTGAACAATGATGTAGGTGTTTCTTCCTGCTCTTAGCTAAGGTAGATGTGTCCTTAAGATGAGTCTTCTGCAGCAGGGTTTGAAAGACAAGCTTGCAGCTGCTCCTAAATCATCTTCAGAAGAAATCCATACTGATCAAACAATAGAGTTCACAGACATTCTAGATACTGAAAATACCAAGCCATTTCCATGCAAGAAGTCCCATCCAGTGGTTAATATATAAGATGAAGCAGCAGCAGCCTGTGGCACCTGGAAGAGTAGCTACACCTCCGTCCCCAATGACTGATGTCACCACATACCACCCCTACACCCAGGCTGAGCAGGCAGACTTAGGAAAGCGATTTAGATAAAGCCAGATGGAACCTCTGCTTTGATGTGGGTATGAGATTCAGGGCTGGATGTTGTCATAGTTACTTTTTCATTGCTGAGACACAATGTCCAACACTCACAAGTCTAAGGTTTGTTTCGGTTCACAGTCTAGAGAGATGATTTCATAGTTTCACCTGACGCTAAGGGAGGACAGCGTGGTAGAGAGGCATCGCAAAGGAGAAACGCGTCACAGCATGGCAGCAGCATCAACAAGAAACAGAGCAAGATCAAAGGAGGAGGGAGAAAGCTATACCCCAGAGGCCTATCTCTTTCAACCAGACCTCACTTCCCTACATCAAATTTAACTATAAATTCATAAGAGGACTAATCCACTGCACTATCATAACCCCATGATCCAGTCACCTTCCCTGAAGCCCCACCTATGAGTGCTTGAGGCTTTGGGAAGACATCTAGATATAAACAATAACAGATGGTGTTATGTTTTCTGGGCAGGAGATGGAGAAGTTAGACACCCATCCCTTAGACAGCAGTTGCAGAACAATGGCTGCCCATATGAACAGGAAACTCATTCCATGCTCCACTGGCTCATAGACAATGGTTATGCTGCTGCAAAAGCCACTAAAAGCATTATGAAGATGGCTCCTATGATCATCAAGATCTCCCACCCTGTCCTGGGATGGGTCAGAAATTGAACTGCTAAGTCTAGGAGCAGTACTGTCCAGACTCTCACATTAGAAGGGTGGGGAGAATACCTGTAAAAGCACAATGCTCTGTACAGCAGTAACCTGTGGGAAGAACTACAAGGGGTCCTGGAACCAGTGACACACATTTCATTAGAGGTCAAGATTCTCCACCTTTGGAAGCAACAGAGTTAGACCCAAGTCCCTATAAAGAGGAGTAGGGCTACTTACTGCTGCTGTAACCTCCACCACTGTGGATTATGTATAATAGCACCCCATACTTCTTGCAAGGGGAGCCATGTGGAAGATTCACTGGTGGATCGGGAGGCTGTAGAGTGTGTGATCAGGGCACTCAAGTTGGTCAAGCTCAAGCTTTTCAGCTAGGTCTCCTGCTTGCTGGTGAGTCAGCATGTGTTATGTAGCCTGCACATGTACAGGGAACTTGTACACATGTAGGCTGTTATTTAAGTTTTTGACAGTTTGCTGGCTTTGTGTTTCATATATAAGGGGAGTATGACTCTTCAGCATTGCTCCCAATGCCATTGAGATAGTAAAGGCACATCAGACATTGCCACAGCTCTGTGTCTTTTCTTTGGGCTGCCCAAATTTCAAGTAAACCTTCGTAGCCTGGACCAGTGGCAGAACAGTAGAGTACTACTGAGTGACTTAACCCATAAGCAAGTGAACCTACAGAGACAGTTCAAGCAAGAAGCAACCTTATTTAATTTACAAATGCAATAATTTTTTGCACACTGCAAATCAACTGGTAGAGAAGTCTGGAGGAAGAATAAGTGAGGAACAGAAACTAAGGCTACCTTTTGTGTGTGCACATATTTATGTTGTGCATGATCATTGTTCCCAGACGTGCAACCTTTGACTAAGGTAGCCTGCCTGGAACAGAGAAGAGACCTGCCTTTCTTTGATTCTGTCCACCTATGATCTGCAGTGCAGGTGGAGTATAAATTCAATCATCTAAGGAAATGGGTCCCAAACTTAATGTTTATAAGAATCCATTGGGAGGCTTCATTGAAAATTCCTCCTCAATAAAGTAAAACGGCTCAACCATTGAGTTGGCTGCTTTAGAGTCTAAGGAGGTTTCCCAGGGTTTTGTGTGGATGAGAAGTTATGGGAGGGCTTATTAAAATAGCATTCTTGGTTCCATCCCCAGAGATTCTGATTTAGTAGACCTGAGCATGGACCTAGGAATTTTTGCTTTTGACAAGTCTCCTGATGACAAAGAGGCACACTTAGATAACCACCGCTTTAACATAATGCAGCCCTCTCCTGGGTACCTCTTGCTAATCACCATCTATCAGAAGAGGTACATTTCCTCTCAGTGAAGGCACAACTAGCAAATAGCCTGCAGAGAAAGAATATTAGTGGATCACACTCTCAAGACTTTAGGGCCTGCTGTTTGCTAAGAGAAAATTCCCAAGCCATAGACAAGACTCAAAAACAGCAAGCAATAATGTTTGGGACTATAGTTTCTAACCTACAAATGAAGAAGAAGAAATTAGACTGAAAGTTGCCAGTTTTTTAAGGAACTTGCGCAAATTTTCACCTCTGTCTTATCTCACATCCCAGGGACTCAGGTGCTTTCCTCTGCCCCTAGTGATGCTTAAATCCATCTCTTTCACTGGGTCAAAAGTCACTGAAGTGAAAAAATCATGTTTTATTCACCTCTGTATCTTCTCTGAGCCTGTCCTCAGCTCCCTTTCTAGAGGTTAGCATAGAGTTGTGCATATTCTAGACACAGGGATCACATTTAGGACATACTAGATTACCACACTTACCCTTCTCATTTAAATGATCTTCTTCCAAATGCATCAGAACATCTGGTTTGTTGCCCAGGAAATAACAGGGAAGTATCAGTGCATGAAACAAAGAAAATATTTCTTGTTGATACCCTATATGTCAGAAAGATAAAGTACATTTGCCTTCTGATTCTGGAAGAAATTATGAGGTAGAGAAACATGAAGCAAAAAACAAGACATGTATCTGGGGTCAACTCAAGAGAGAAAGAGAAAGAAAGAAAAAGAAAGAAAGAAAGGAAGGAAAGAAAGAAAGAAAGAAAGAAAGAAAGAAAGAAAGAAAGAAAGAAAGAAAGAAAGAAAGAAAGAGAAAAGAGAGAGAAAGCAGAGAACATAGGATTTGTGCTCCATTTCCTGCTTGTGATTTAGGGAAATCGCCTTTTAGGGAATTCCTGAACCAAAGTGGGAAAACTGCAATAAAATCCAAAAATAGGGATGGTGATACGCCATGAATAAGCAAAAGAAGACAACTGAGAATAGATCAGCTCCAACAAAGCAGAGCAGGAATCCAACTATTCTCACAGGCTCTCAGAGGTAGAAGGGAAAGAATGAGAGATGAGGACCAAAGTGCTACCACGGGCCACTGTGAGAGGGAAGCTTGTGCCAGAGGCTTCCAAGTAAACAACTTAGAACCAGGATGGGGTGGAGGAGGCAGCTGACACAAACAGGATCCACAACTCAAGAAGCACCAGGGTGAGGGAGCATAAAAAATAGGACACGCAAGACCCCTCACAGACTACAAGATCACAAAGTACACTGGCCGTGGGCTTTGGCAACTGCCTAATGGACAGCCAGGTTAGCTTCTCAAAGACCAGAGAGAACAGTGCCATTGTCACCATGAACACATTATCCCATTCTTCACCACAAAAGAAGGAAAATCGTTTTCCTCTGTGCCCAGGCGCCATCTTATAGAAGACTCCATTTTGTGGAAAGCACCATTTTGTGTCTAGACAAAGCAAGAAATACTGTCAAAAAAGGTACAATCTTAAAATTGTTTTCAAAAGCTACTTAACCTTTAAAAGAGTTTCTTCCAGCAGAAAATAAAATACCTTCTGTGAAGTAATTTAGGATTTCATTTTTCACGGGGTTTTCAGGGTAAGATGATAACAGTTTCTTTCCCACATCTAAATGTGGTATGTAAACAGGTGACCTCTCA